CCGCGATGGATTTAGAGTGACTGCACAAACACACGTATTCTTATTGTACCTACATCCGCGATGTGACTCGCCTGCCAACCAACTGCGACGCATCGTATATTTCAATGAGCCAAATCGACGTTCGGCGTGTCCCGCGGCATGTAATGAGCGCCCGACAACGCCAATGAAGAGACTACGACGACGATAACCGGCAATATAGTCGCAGGCGGTGCGGGCTCTTCAAGAATTTCGAAACTCCTCGCGATTGACGGGGATTTATTTATCTCGCGGCGCGACTTTCTGATCTCAGGGTGTTTCTCGCGTTCATAAGAACGTTTTTTTCCCCCCCTTTCGTTTAGTTTCTAGAGCTAAAATTACCTTTCGTCTCATCGTTGCCACAACGGAGATATTTCATTGAGTACAAATAGATTTACCGGAATATTTATGGCGACCGTTTTTTACACGCTCCGTTACGGGCGGGGTTGATACGATTACTACAGCGTCGTCTGTTTGCTCAGCTTAGAACGGACGTAGAGAGACCACTATGATTATTCTATTCAACGGTATTCACCCCCCGACCGGATTCGGTGCGAGCTGGTTTTTACGAGCAGCGAGGAAGAAGAATGGCCCGTTCTGATCGAAGGGACTTGTCGTCCGCGACTTGAATCGCAATAGGTCTTTACAAGCGCGAAGATAAAAATTCTTGGAAGCGAGATAAACGCGAAATTTTTAATCTTTGAACCACGAGAGCTTAAACGCGAGATTATCCGGCTAAGCGCTAAGAGAGCGTGTTGCATGAAGAAGAGCAAAAAAAGAGGGAAAAAAATTATTTCCCGCAGAACCGAGAGAGAAAGTAATTTTTCGACGCGTATATGTGCAGTCTCCGCCCCGTAAGCGAACGCCGTTATTACTCGTAACCGAGTATACCCCGGTATCACAGAGGAAGAACGCCGCGGTTGCATAACCGCTTTGTGACGCGATAAAGAACGCGCCGACGTCTGAAGTTTCTGTCTCTCTTTCATAACCGCGTCTCTATATGTCACTTTTTGTTCGCGCGAATATATATTGCCAAGAACGGAGACTACAGTGCGAGCATTCATTTGCAGAATTGCCGTTTCATTGCCCGTTTCTGCGACATTTCCCGTTCACTCGTAATTAAACCTATGCACCGTCCAGGGAAAGACTCAATCCGCGTACAGACTCGATTCGCGAGCGTAAAAGTTTTCCCACCTGAGCGACCACTCACTCGATCACCCTTATCCTAACTGAAACACACGTGATCTATTTTCGGCGCGGATCAAAAGTTCCGCGAGACGTCGGAAGACCGCGGCGCCGGGGCTTGATTCTCGCGTGGATGAAATAAATCGTTTATTTATATCCTCGCCGTTGCAATTCGACGTTAAAAGAGACTTATTAACAGCTTCCGAAGGAAAATAATTGTCGCCGCTCTCAATTCTCGTGACACGATCTCGTCTCATTCTCCCTCGGTCCGTTTCCCCTTGATTAATGATCATCTTCTTACCTACGTCAGATATCGAGGGATTGCTTATCCCCTTATCGCGAGAATCTTAATCTAGAACGCTTCAAGTTTACCCGACGTTGACAGTGACATCAGGATATTCTCGACTGCGCCCTCCCAAGCTTTAAATATTGACAGAATAATTTAACGACCACTGAAATAATGTATGTCCACTGAAAAACGGACGGTTTCTGCATTTACCTCACGTACATCCGGCCGTAGTTTCCGGCCGGCGAACATCTCAGATTCCTTCGCGCTCTTAGTTTCTTTTACTTCGATAGATCGATACGTATTTACCGTTCTCTCTAGCCCTTTTCGCCTGCTAACTCTGCCACAAGTTGAAAGATATTTCTTGCTACCTCAAAAGTTATCACTTTTTCCACGGGCGAGGTCAAGCCGATCCCCGTTACCTCTTGAAATATATATATATATATATTGCACTAAAATACTTGAAAGCGTCGAGTACCTTTTAAGAATTTATGTTGGCTTCTATCACGAGGATGTTTGCGTAGAAAAAAAGTAAGTAGATGATGTGAGGAAAACTGATGAACGACCTAGCTCATTCGTCGAATAAGAATCGAGCAAATACGAGCGTTATTTTCGAGCGCCGACGCGACGCGACAAACGCTAATCGGAGTGCACCAACTGAATTTCCATGCCGCCTATTTATTAAAAACAAACGCAGAAATGAGGCGACCCAATCTGCTATTTTGTATACAGGGATAGAGATACGGACACGATTGTTGCTACGTCACGTTACGTGCAACTTCTTTAACGAATCGCATTTGCCAGTGCATTAGCACTAATCACCATTTGCATCGATAAAATGCGGTCTGCAAAAAGCGGCAATAACAGAATGACATTTGCATTGATAATCCTAAAATGGACTCGAAAAACAGCTGAATATAGATTTTCGCGTCCTACATCCTACATTGAAATTATTACACTTCGTGTTTTTCACGTTAAATATTCACAATCTATAATTAGGTAACGTAGTAATAAAATACGATAACAATAATTAAAAATATATTTCGTAAGCACGATCGATAATCCTGAATAATTAATGAAACTTCCAATAACCAAGTTAATTAAATCATATCGAAATTTCCATCAAGGTCTTTGTCTCGAAAGGGTTAAACCGGCAGCGACCCGGTTTTTCGCGTTCCTTCCGACGAATTTCATCGCAAATTTTTACTCGGAGCGTTTTTTAAGTCCCTTGGCGTTCGCCGCGCGCACTCGCCGAGGAAATCCTCGAGGAGCGACTTCGACGACAAAGACGAGACGGCGATAAGATTTTAATCGGCTGGAGCGGCGTCCGTACCGCGGAAACGCTCTCGTATAATAATTTCGTATTCGCGCGTTTACGTATTCGCTGATGAAAATCTTGCAATTGCAACACCAAGTCGGCTCTCGCCTCTGTCAATCGCATTGCCGGTAAAATTTCAGCCAAACGCTATTTCAGCCGAGCGCAACGTTGCGACGCTGTTCTGGAAATATTAATTACGAAGTCATCTCGCGCAGGCGAATATTTTCCCATCCCCTGCCCGCCCCCCTCGAAGTGCGAGTAAATATATTAATGCGAACGAAATCGGGGCATAATTAAATAGCAAATTATTTTCGCGGAAACACGCTCTCTCCGGACAGCGCCATTAATCAACGTTTATTTAATCTCCGATTTCAAGAACGCAAATTAAATAACGTTATACGTGTCGCCCGCGTATCGAATGATGCGTTCGCACGTGGCGCGCGCGCACGTGGGCGAAGTTAATTTATTAAATTTATCAAACAAATTGTTACGGGACTCGATAAATCAGCTCTGTTCAGCTGACGCGAGCCGGAATATTTCCGATTCCGCGGCTCGTGTGCGCGAACGTCCGCCTTAAACCGTCGCGGTCGAGCGGACAATCGCGCGGTGACGTCGAGAGAAAACAAAAAAAAAAGAACATTTTTAAAATCGACACCCCGGCACGCCGAGGCGAGGCGAGGAGGGTGTCCGCCAAGTGTCGGGATTCAAATTCGGAATTCGGGATCGGGTTTCGACAGACGATCCCCCTGCGTGAAGGGACGGCGCGGCGGCGGAAACGCCGCGGACTCCCGGCAGCATCCGGCGGAATTATGCCGGGCCGGGTGCCGGCATAGAAATAAGGGGGAGGGGTACCCCGCACTTACCCGCTCACGAAGATGACCACCACCTCGGCGTCCGATCGCGGCGATCGCCAGTCCGTCTCCGTTTCGTCCGCTCCGGTTGTCCCTGCTCTCTGGCCGTTCCGCGACGCTGCTCCGCTCGCGCATTCGAACCGGCGGGGCGAGTCGATCGGAGACGTATCTCGCTCGGAGACGCGCTATCGGCCAACTATCTGTCGCGAGCGAAAAAGTACTTTGGCACCGTCGCGGCAGATACCGCCATTTTACGGGCGCGTACCGCGCGCGACGCGCGCCGCGTGCCGCCATCCGGCGGTCGCGCCGCGAACGAGTTAGGCTCGGGATCGCGCGGGACGTGTATTGAACTTTAAACTACGGTTGGGCACTTCTCTCGCGAGGGGTGGCCGATGCTAATTGCGACGACCGCGGGACGCGGGCTATGCTGGCGCGAGTCGTATACGAGCGCGAATTCGCGACGTGAGCGGGCCAACTTTGCCGAAAACATGCACGTCGATCGCAATGCGGCAGTACTATTAATTAGTATTTAATTAAGAATGGACACGAATAAACAAGCGTGTCTTCGAATTTTATGTACGTAGACTCGCGAGACTTAGACAATTTAACTCTCACGTTTCATGGATCTTTTTATTAAATCGAAGATTGTTTTGTCTTTACTTCTAATTATAAAATTGAATTATTGTATTTAATTAGGCGTCAATTTGTATTGCAAGATACTACTTATACATTCCGACTTTTATGAATTTGTAAAACTGGATTTTCTTTCGAATACGTAAATGGAAGCTGATAAGAAAACAATACATTGAAGTAACTAATTGGAAAAATATATATACTCGTTGGAAAAAATCGAATAATTTAAAGAAAGGACGTATTCAGATAATATATTTACCGTAATAGAGATATGTATGTTAACTGTCATAAAATGCAATATGACGAGAAGAGTAGCATTAACACGATAAAAAAAATTAAGATTGTCTAATGATAGCGAAATCGAAGTGAATAGCACAAGTGATCAAAGGAATTGTCTGATATACATCTCGTATTAAATATATTTCATATATATTAAAACAAAGTATTGACTCTTTGTTAAGTTTTTGCGAAATCAATGTCTGGAATTATATCAGACTGCAAGATGATTGAAGAATCGCGTGCTTAACACACGAGTCACTTCTTATATAGATGTTTTAATTGTATTAGCGTCCTTAAACGCGATACTGTGTGTAAATTTTTCGAATCCTTCGGGGGAGAGGGGGGAGGAGAGAGAGAGAGAAAGAGAGAACATTGCGTATGTTTTCTGTAAAAGAATTAGGAACAAAATTAAAGAAATAAATACGTTGCACAAAATTGTAATGATGTTATTGACGTTGTCCCTTGACATTTTAGATGTATATTATTACAATAGTTCGTACATAACGAAATCCTATTTAACTGTTTTTTCTTCTTTAAGAACCGTACGTTTCAATGAAGCGTTTTTCTTCACGTACAAAAACAAAATGGTCGTACGTTGTGACAATACTGGCAGTGCAGCGAAGAAGGCAGTTAGTGTGCTGCTAATCTATCTAAACCGCACGCGACGTATGCGTCTTGCCTATGGTTAAACGCTATTTATGACTGTTGAAACCATTTGTGCAAAATATGAATAAACAGAACATATTTTCAACAGATGAATTCCAAATTTGAATTAATTCTTCGAAAATGTTATCTAACGTGTTCGATAACCCAAAGAACTATGGCCCCTTCCGCTTCGTTTTGATACAAAGCAAAAATGATAATCCGGCTGCAATAATGCAAAATGTCAAACGAATATAATATATAATCTGATTAATCTATTTAGGTATGTTAATATAATTATACGAAGCTATATACATATTTCAGTAAAGTATTCTCGAACACAAACTATATTTTGCTTTATCTTTAAAGCAACAGACTGTAGAAATACAGAAAAATCGTATACATATATTCTTAATGAATGCCAGCACCGATAAAGCTTTCAATATCGTCACAGCACCTATACGTTTTGCTCGCGCATAGATTTATCATACAAAATATAATCTACAGAGTGTTTACCATTTAATATATCTACAGAGTGTTGAAAATCATATTCCTCCTTCCATCTACATAATCGTATTTGGAAATGACGTATAAAATAACAAATAAGCACTCCTATTTATTTGAAACTTTACTTGGCTCGGCGACACCTCCTTGACAGTTTCATCATCATACTCGTACCATCTGTAAATACACAAACATTATCATTATAACAAAGTCATAAAAACTTGTCTCCAATGTTTCTAATATAGATTTCTATCGAAAAATATTCATATTCTATAAAAGATTATTATTAGAAGAGAAATACTTAAAAAAAAATTAATGTTCAAGTCTTATTCTTTCTTAAATTTGCTTGGAAATGTAAATTCTTGAATTTCGGATCTACCATATAAAGACTATACGCACGTATTTTGCGCAGGGTTTTTGCAGAACGCCGTGTAGTGACCACCATAGTCCATTCCATAGTGATTCGATATCGCGTAAAGAGAGTAATTGTAATTACGGATATTGTTTGACATAATTGTGTTCTCCATGAGGTACGGCTTCAAGTTGAATCCCGTGAGAGGAAAATCGACGGCGGTGTGGCGCTTTTCTAACCATTCACCGTTCATCCATCCGTAGGCAAAGCGGTTCAAGTGAATCACGACGATGGGTGCGAGTTTGACGAAATCGAACTTCTTCGTCGCGTCGCGTGGTATCTGGCACTTGGGACACTCCCATTCGCTCACTTTCTGTCCTGTCACAAACTTCTCCTCCATACAGTCCTAAAATAATAAAGCAATTTCATATGAGACATATATAGGTGCCATAAAACGCTATATATCGTTTCAACTTATTTATTTATATTTATATTACGCTTACATATATAAGAGGGAGAGAAAAATAAAAAAAATCATACCATTCAAGTATGATATGTAATATCGTATTTTGTAAAATACTCACATTTAAAGAACACGGATTGAACCTAGGTAAAGACATTGTTAAACTATTAAATGTCTCGTATGTAATACTCGCTTGCTTGCAAGATGAACATGTAATAGTGCATCTCAATAGTCCGAAAAATAAATCCGATATTATAGATCTCTCAGAGTTCATCGCTTTGTCCCATTCTTTCTCCGCATTAGTCAATTCGATTGGAATATTTGCCT